CATCCATTAGATGCATGCACTTTTGAGCTCATGCGATTTCCAGTTGATCATCACAAGCCTTTACCTCTTCTCTTAAAGACCGTGTTTTTTCTTGACCGCCTCGATATCATGCTTCAAAGTAGTTTGCGCTCCCAGTCATGAGGTTTCACTTCCTTGGTTGTTTTTCTCTGCTGAATGGATGATGTCGTATCATAAATGTAAGCTGATGTTGATGTTTGCTATGTAGCGTGATGCAATGGACGAGAACAGTGGGACTCCTTCTGAATCAGTAATCCGCACTTCGTGGGAGAATTTCGAAGAAGAGATTGGCAAGATTAACAACCACTGTCACGAAATTTCCTTTAGTGTGAAGGAAGAAAATCTTTCTGACAACATTGCATTAATTAGCAAACCCAAATCTCTTAGACAATCCGGTAATTCTTCACTTAATGGTGAGGAGAGCCTCACAGGAACTGACTTTAAGGAGAATTTAGATGAAAAATCGAAACATTTGGAGACATCGCCGAACGAGATAAACACTGTACAACAATTTGATCTTGAACCTGTAGTTGATTCCTCGAATAGTATTGAAACAAGCGATCAGGGATTAGATAACGCGTTAGGAAATCGCGAATCTTCTCTAATTTCGAATACAGGTGAACTGTCTACCGAAAAACATTTCATTCAATCAAACGATTTATCAGAGTGCCTGGCAGATGGCATTGCACTGAACGGAGAAAGTGAATCAAGCTTTTCAGCTGTCGACGAACCGCCTACCGAAGAAAAGGCTATTTCTTCAGCAAAATGGACCACGTTTGAGGATAGCCGTGATAAAGAATTGCGCACAGATGGAGTTAAGAGCAAATCTGAAGAGTTATCGATCGACGAAAAACAGCAAAATTCGAATATAAACACACCCAGGACAACCCCGAATATGGCGGCTTTTGATTCCCAATCCGCAGTAACCACAAATATTATCTCCAATTTGCCTACTGTAACCGAACCTGGTACCTTTGAAGTTCTCGCTGCATCATTTAATCACAAGAAAATTGGAGAAGATATAGCTTCGAATTCGAATTCTCTATCCACAAGCGCTATGCGATCAGCTGTTCCTATTGTCGACCGAGCTTCACCGAACGATAATGGCGCCCTTCCCTTGTCTTCAAGCAGTTCACTAGAACCCCGACCAGGCGATACCTCAGCTACAAAGCATCACAAAGGGACTGAATGGGTCAGTTTTGGCGAGGAAGGGAATTCCGACGAAAACCAGCGGGGCAAAGCAAGTCTAAGTGGGAGCGAACGCGAACATGGTAACTTAGAAACGGCGAAGCGTCCTTTCGAAAACGATCTTCAGAAGGGCGATTTAGCTGTTAATGACACAAAAGATACATCACCTTCTACCGTTTTACGAGAAGAAAAGGAGTTGAATGGAAAAAGTTCAAACGAAGCGGCTTCAGTTATTCCTCCCGTATCGTTTACCTCGGCCGAATTGGATTTACTTGCGAGTAAATCGTGGATTCAGTTTGATGACTCCAGCAAAAGTAAGTCAGTACCGCAATCAAACTCGTGCTTTGCTCAAACATCGTCAGCTTCCCACCCGTGGGTCACGTTTGGTGATTCCAACACCCCTGTAAGTCAGAATTTAGACCCACTAGAATTGGATGTTAGCAGTAAAAGCCAATTCAACGTTTCAACATCACCAAGTCCAAATCCATTCACATCTGTACCTCCTTCATCAGCCAGCAATCCTTTTAAGCCTGCTACGCCAAGCATTGCAAATCCATTCCAGGCTGATGCTACTGCAGTTGTTTCTTCAAGCCCTTATTCTATATCCAATCAAGGGCCGATCTCTTCATCAACACCTCTTACGGGCGTGAAAACACCATCTGTTGCCAAGGGTAGTCTACAAGAGACTGGTTTACTACCCACATGTACAGCTGAATTGAACGTTCCCCATGACGAGCTTACTCTCAGTAACTCAACACCAGTTGACAACAACCAGGCTGTGGTTGCTCAGGATCAAGTTGATGCAAGATCTAAAGTACTAGTCAGTAAAACTCAGCAACCTTCCCAAGTTTGTGAGGAACCACTTCGTGAGGAGAAGTTATTGACCACAAGTGGCTCATGGTCTATGCTTCTCCGCTTCCCTGATAAGAAAAAGAAAATTGGATCTCGTGAGTGGAAACCAGTGGTTATTAAGTTAGGGGGTACAACCTTACAAATTTTTGAGGAGTATGAATTATCAGCACCTTTCAGAGAGATTCCCTTGCAAGCGTATTTTGTGTTCACGACACCCAAGTTGCAGTCCTTTGAACGTGGAGCTAAAGTTCATACAGTTAGGTTAGAGTATGTTAAGTACACAGAAACCAGAAGGTTACGTCATCGTGGCACTGTTGAACATGTGGCACACGGAACACCCATCATTAAAGTGGCATCTCCAAGTCACAAAGTTATCAGAGAACTTCTTGAATCTTTCAACAACTCTCTTCGCCTTCTTCCATCTTACAGAGACAGAGGAATAACATACCGTCAAGATGAAGTGTTTGTTGATGTTGAAGATGTTACGAATGTACTTTTGTCTAGTGATGGTACCATTCTAAAGAAGAATTCGAAAGTTTTAGTCAAGTTTCGTGCTTTTCTTACAGGAGATCCCGAGTGCCAGTTAGTTTTGAATGATATTGCTCTTAGAGAACGAGAAGAAGCTCGTCTGCGATCCGAAGAAAAACCTCAAAGAGTTCATCATTGGATGAAACTGAGTCACTGTGATTTTCATAAGTGCGTCAATGTTACAACTTTTGACCAATCACATGCTATTACATTTCATCCATTAGATGCATGCACTTTTGAGCTCATGCGATTTCCAGTTGATCATCACAAGCCTTTACCTCTTCTCTTAAAGACCGTGTTGAATATTCATAGTGAACAAAGAGTTGAACTCAAAGTAGAAATCCAAGTCTGTCAGGAAGCAAAGTTGGCAAAGTACATTCGAAACAATGTGATTTTCAGATTTCCTATCCCAGAAACTTGGGTACCTCTTTTTAGAACAACCAAGGCCTTGAGAGGTGAGAAGTCCATTAAATCCAGCAAGGGGAGCCGAGCTGCTGGAATAAAGAGCAGATTGAGGAACTCTAAGTGTTCAATTGCTGTGTCTCTTGGGAAAGCAAAGTATGAACCAGAATATGCATCTGTGGTGTGGCGAATCGATCAACTGCCTTTTATCCACAGCAGAATTCCTGCGGATGCACCTCAGACACTCACATGTGTCCTAGATCTGCCTCCTGGAATGGAATACCCGGAAAACTTCAAACCCACAGCAGAGCTGGAGTATGATGTGGCTTATGTGCTGGTCTCAGATACCACAATTATAGCTGTTAAAGTATCTAATCAAAATATCCCAGACAAATGGGTCTGCTACAGAGCATCGTACCATTATCAGGTTAACATTGACATTTCCAGACCAACAGCTGGTCCAGTCAGAGATGTTGGGTGCACACAACAGTAGGAGAACAAGGAACAAGAATGAATTTCTCAATGATTATTGGTATGTACAAGTATACAGTTTAACATGATTTCTTTATTGACATCAGTGTGAGAAATGTTTTTTGTTGCATACCCTGACAGTCCAGGTAAGAGTAGTTCTGAAATGGACTGTTGTTGGTTACAGTGACTAAGGTTTCTGTAAAGTAACTGTGTTGTGATTTCACACCAAATTCTTAGATCTAAAATTGCAAGTATTGGATGGTAGAAAGTGTGAAGAATTGATTGGCAGTGGAAAGATTAACTGCCTAGTTAGGGGCAATTGTTTGCTTTAAATTTTAAGAGGGTGTACAATAACAAGGAATCTTGAATTTTTTACAAAGGATAGACTGAAATTTGCAAATTCGTCTCTGAGAAGTAAAAAATATGGAAATTTGAGAGACTTCAAATATTGGGAAAGTGTCTGCAGTTTTTTTTTTTTTTTTTTTTATTTGCCATACCTTCGAAAACTCCTCTCAATGAAGTCTAAAAAACACAACATCAACTTTTTGAAACTTGAGTTTTTTTTTTTTTTTTTTTTTTTTTTATCAAGTGGCAGTAAATACTTATTGTTTTACTGGCTGCGGTCTTTGAAGGGAGCTAAATTTATGCAACTTACTTAGCCAAACTGCTTTATTTTTAGGAGGTCAGAGAATTTTTACTTTTTTTGCAGATAACTTACAAACTTTCTTCTACTCAGGCCAAGTGACTTAACCTGTGTTTATGTCAAGTCATGAAAAGGAAAATAATTGTTTTCAAATTGGAAAAGTCTAGAAAACAGTCTTGAATTTTGTTAACCTAGAACAGTGGTCTGTCTGCCTAAAGCAACCAGAGTTGAAAGGTTTCAGATTACATACATTGTGCTATTTGGGTTTTAAACCATTAACTACTGTATTTATTGAGTGAACACCCTGTATTTAGCAGAATCTAGAAGGACTCATGGGAATGTCAGCTTATTGTTGGTTAAATTATAATAGCTCCTTTGAATCTTTGATCTCTAATACATCTCAGGCTGTGCCTTAAGACAGAAAAATTGATTGTCCATTAGAAATATGCTTGGATTTGTCACCTAAAGTGCACTTTGCTGAAGTATAAATGCTGTCTTTGCATTTTCAATTAGAGTTTAGGATGGTGTTTCGAAACAAGGTAATCAATTTGTTTGGTTTGAAAGTTACTGTCATGATTAAATTGGAATTTTTTCAACTTTTTTCCATCCAGGTCAGGTAAAAGACATCTAAAGGATGACACTGTGCCAGGATGGAAGGTCAAATCATTGTTACTCTGGCCATGGTTTGCAATGAATTGATGAGTCTTACCTTTAAATTTGATATTTTCTGTTGCTGCTACAATTTTTTTTTTTTAAAGAATACTTAAGGAATGGCACCTCTTAAAGAAGCTGCAGGAATATCATATCATATTCATTTTAACATTTTTAATTAGAGGATTTGAGTTGAAATAGAATGAAACATGGGCTCCATGGCTCCTATTGATAGCAGAGCTTTACATTCTGATGGGACTACCCTGGTGTTGGGATTGTTATTTATTTTTAAACAAAGGTGTCAATCACATTAAAATTATGGTAGTTTGCTAGCATGGACAAACATTAAAGAGGTGAAGAAGACTGAAATGGAATGAAATGGTTAAAGATGGAGAAAAATACAGTGAATGTCAACATTGAACCCAAAGTATCCAGTAGTTGTTGTTTTTTTTTTTAATTTTTCTTTTTTTAGTGTGCAAACTGTGATATGGTTCTAGTAAGAAGCAGATCTTGTTATAAGCAGAGTTTAATCCTGAACTGAGTTCATAGGATGTTCTTCAACAATTAAAAAAAAAGCATTTTGTTTTGTTTTCAATTTCAAGAGAAAGGGAATCCATACTGATGGTGACGTGATTGTGGAGTTGAGATTTTTATTTTTGTTTTTTGGGAAACTCTTTACATACTCCTGTCTGTGAGCCTTGTTTTTTGGCTTGAGTGTTGACAGCTGGTTTCTGTACAGGAAAATCTTTCCAATATTGTCATTTACAATCCTGAAGAAACTGTCTTGTCATCAAACGAAGTGGTTCCAAGTCAAGTGCTAAATATTGCATGAGGTATTGGGTTGCAATTTTTCAGGCTAGGACATCTAAAATTTGTGCCTTAGAGCTTGTGGCTTGTAAACTGGCACAAGTAATTATCAGAAAAAAAAAAAAAACAGTATGATATCACCTTCAACACTGTAACAGTTATATGGCAGGACAGGAATGAATTTTGCTTTCTGATCTTTTATTAATTAAATTGCATATTTTTACCCATTTCTTTTATTTATTAGAAATGTTGCTTCAATACAAAGACTATCACTTCTGAGAGCACATTTTATCACAGCTTTTCATTTTACCAATCTCAGTCATATCTTACTTTTGGCTCATTTACTATTAACTTTTTAAAGCAAAACACAGAGTAACAATATCGTTGTCAAGTCGTTGCAATATAGCATCATTTGAGTACTGAATTTTAAATTTTTTAAAGGAAAAAAATTATGTTTATGTGAACTGCAGTGCTTCTGATGGGGAGTTATATAGTAACTTTTATTTGAAATGTTCTTGGTGAAAGTGTTTATTATTTACAAGTTAGAGTAAAAGTAATTTTTTCAGAATGACGACCTACTTGAAAAACAGCCAAAAACATATAAGTCTTATTTCTGTGGCATTAGAAATGTTGACAGTTTGAATGTATACTTAGTGTTCTTCCTTATTTTAAGCATGATAAGTACTGTAAAAGAAATTTTCTTACCGCTAGAGAAATCCTGTTACATATATAATTTTCCAGAATTCCAAGCAATTTTAGGAATTAACAAGAGGTTCTAAGTCTGTTGAATTTTACTGGTTAGGCCACCGTAGTGGCATCAATCTATGATTTAAACATGTTTTTATTGTATTATTTTTGATCGCCAATATAAGGGGCATCAGTAATTATGTTTGTCTTGCATATCAGGTCATTGTCACTGAAGCAGGCGTCAAGAGCACTTAAGAATTTGAATATCATAATAATACTGACCAGACTCTAAATTCTCAGAATCCATGAAACCAACAAGCCAAATCATTGATTCATTTTAAAGGTTCTAAAAAAAAGCTTTTATAAGACAGACCATTTCAGAGACGACCCAAGCCTTTGTTTCCAGGTGAGGCTTGATGCACAACCTTTGTTGGGAAGATGACCTTTTATTTTCTGGCAATTAAAACTCATTTTTGCAACAAAGGCTTTGCTCAAAGGCCCATCTTCAATTGAGGACTCTTGGAGCTCGGAAATGGCCTACTTTTTCTACAATCATGTGGAGAGCCATTTTTTTGTTTTGTTTTACTGCACAAGGGAAATTATCTGAGACAATATTACTCTTGCAAACTCTGTTTTTACAAGACTGCTGACAATTCTGGACGGAACTGGCAATGAATCTTATAATTCCCAAGCAGTTAATTCTCTCCTTCCTAGGTGGGACTTATTGTAAATGAGCATTTTCTATAAGCACAATATCCATACATTATCAAGCATAAAGGTAACAAGATTGATAAATACCAAATTCCAAAGATAAAACTATAAGAAATTTGTAGGAGGCAGTAAGAAGAATTTATTTTGAGATCTAAGGGGGGGGAGGGTGAATGGTCATTGTTAAGAGAAAGTAGAGGGGTTATAGGTTATATCACAGAATTTAAATCAGTGTAAGCAGTGTTAAAAATTGATATTAGTTAAAATAGAATAAACCTTGAAGTAATAATTTACGTGGGTAAAGAAAAACAAATAAGGTGCAAAATTAGAAATGAAAAAGTTACCAGGATGACTAAGAACAGAAAAGAATTTAATTAGTAATCTTAAAAATTTAGGCAGAAATTTTCATGGGAGACAAACAGCAATGCAGCCATTTGTGTCTTATCTTTAGATATGGGAGAGTTTTGCTTCATGCTAAAGAGTTGAAGTCATTTTATGACGTATACATAAGTGTTGTCTTCATGTTGAAGACAGAATTACATTTGTATCCTAGAGTCAGTTGGAATTGCTGCATATTATTCAATCTTGAACATGGTAAATGTTTCTGGGTTTGGAATCTGGGGTACGTTCCTTAACCATTCCTGGAAATAATGATAAAATGGTATAGGAGTGTTTGAATTTATTTTATAATTGTGCGCAAAGCCAATCAAAGAGACACATCATTGTAACCAAAAAATGATTGCTTTTGCATTAATAATTCTGTAGTATTAGAATTAAAGTATGAGTAACATAAAATAGCTTCTAAGGTCAGTTAATCCTTCGTATGGAATTGTAACTCTTTTTATTTGTTTAATCATGTAACAAGGATATTATTTTATATGTCATCTTTATTTGTATTTTTCAGTAGAGTGTTCAAAAACTTATTATCTTGTGGACTCCATGGCAGACCACTAGCTTGGGTTTTGGAATAGGAGAAGGTTTTGATTCCATGAGTGAGAGTCTTCTAAAAAAAATTTGAGAAACAAAGTCTTGTGGCCTTGCAGGCCAAGAATTTTCTCTTTTTATCAAATATGGTGGGAGCTTGCCATTGGCTTGGTTTTTAACTACCACCAGGACTGGTAGAAATTCAGTTTTGGCTAGTGGTTTTCAATTTTCACTGGCCAGTTTGGCTAGTAAACAAACTGACCTTGTTGTAACATCTAAGTTGTCGCTAACCACTTGGCTATTATGTTGAAAAGTTGGTGTAGAGCTTTCTACCACTTTTACATTGTGAAGTGTCACTCAAATGTTTCTTGAACTTAACTGTTGCTAATGCTCACGGACAATTAGTAAAAATGAAGCAACAATTTTTAAAAGGTTGTTATACAGTTAAGTCTTGTGAAGACAGAACTTTCACAGCTGGTGACAAGTGCTTCAAAAGTCTGCGAAAATTGTCTTTTTAAGTATTCTGTAAGATAGAGGTATTTGTAAGGAGAGAGTTGGCTGTGGTTACATCATGTGAAAGACTTTGTGCGTAACTAGATGTAGTAAATAGTAATGAGTATAACTAAACACAGAGCAACATTCATTATATTCTACATACTGTAAAAGATTATGTCAGTTTAACAGACTATACACAGTAAATGCGTGTTGTATTATAATACATGAGTATCATATTAGAAAATGCACTACACTAGCCTCTATGAATAAATACCATGAAATGAAACATGCGATGACTGTTTGGTTTCCTTTCCCTTCCCAGTGGGAAAAGCTGAACTTGTTAGTATTTTTAGGCATAAGAAATAATACTTATGCATCAATTAATTCAAATCTTTAACATCTCCCCCCCTCCCCAAGCAACCCCCCAGGTATTTGTTCAAATTCCCACCCCCTGTGGCAAAAATTGTATTCAAATGTCCCCATCCTATTTCTTTGTGAAAGGCAAAAATCAGCACTGCGACTTTCTACACTCTGACCAAGCTTCAAAACCTAGACCTTCTAGACCCTTCTTCTGAGCTACCTTGCCAAAGTGAACATAACCTGTACATTCTGTTAGAAAGACTTGGCACTTCCGGCTCAAATTCCCCACCTCAGCGATGCAAGGCTAAAATTCTCCACCCCTTTGGAACAGATGACGATCTGTGCGTTGCCTTAGCGGATGAGAGGGGAGGAAAGCTAAGGTTGAATGAAGATGTGGAAGCTTTTTCTTCAGCAATGGCTTTAGCTCCCGTTTATGAACCTTCTTGGGAGATGTAAATGTCAATCACAAAATCTAGAAAATTAATGAGAGGTTGAGAGATTCCAGAGGAAACTTTTGTTTGTTACATGCTATGTTCAGGATATTATTTTTAAGGAAAATAACTTCCTCGATACGGTTTCTTTTTTACTTTATGGGAAACACTTACCACAACGCGCGCGACTGCACAGCTACGCGCGAAGGTTTTGCAGCCCCTTTAGTCTTTACTCGGTTCAAATGTGAGGCGCGGTCGCATAGTAAAGAGCGTTCTCTGGTGAAGGCAACGTTTGGCTGATGAATTTTAGTCACGAATATATGGTAGCACAGCCCAAGGATCTCTCTTTCTTTTATATGAATCTATTGTAACTTTCGTTTGGGAATCTTTGAGTAGTTTTTGGTCAGAATGGCAGAGGTTGAACGGTCAAGAATACGTAGCGTAGTTCGGGTGAGTATTTAGTAGTATCTTGATCGTAAAGGAGAGAGAATGGTTAAGAATCATTTTCCATCCCTTATCAAAGTTTCTATTGTTACTCAAATATACAGTTTCTAATTTTTTTTTTCTCCTTTTTTTTCGGTGGGAAGACTGTGAGGCATTCTAATTCACCAAGCACGAAAATAACAAGATCGCGGTCTCGATCGAGATCACCGGATGAAAGAAGGTAAAGTTTAAAAGTCTGTACTATGCATGATGACCGTGCATTATTTGATTACTCGGGATAGGTTCACATTTTTTCAATTACATGTATTTGATAACTCAATGATATTTCAAACGATATGAGTACAGAAACAAATCCAGTACTCGAAATACTCTAATTTGCTGGAAATGTAGTTAATTTTACCCTTCTCGAGATGGCTGTATATCTTCGGTGTTAGACAAATTGTAAACTTTCAGAAGTCAATTAGCACATTAAATCCTTAGATAAACGACTGAACAAGCTTTATTGCTTTAACATAAAGGATTTGAATTGATTGATATCATTGATGTAATGGATTACCTTGGAAAATTTTTTAAAGTAAAATTATTCAAGTCTACCTGTAAGGAGTGTGTTGGATGATGTTGGATTATTAATGTGGTCAGAATTCGTTTTGGGCAGGTGTTTTGATATGATGTTTAATGATGTTGGGTTTTTTGTTTCTTTAAATCGACCAACATAACCTGAAACAGAGGCAATCAAAGTAGTGAGGGCCACTGCAGGCTTAAAGAGAAGACATTGTCTTTCTCTACCATCAGAAGGCCTGACTTTGTGCATTTTCTTGCTTTGTAGAAGGAAAGGTAATGAGGACAAAGAGAACAGACACAGGAGTGATGATGATGACGAGGATGAAAAGGAATATCGTGGAAGATTGCAACAAAGTGATAGTGACAATGACACAAGATCCCATCGTAGGAAGGAAAGAAATAAATATGACTCTGAACGATATAGGGAGCGAGGAAGACTTGACAAGAGGAGATATCGCAGTGATGATGATGATGATAGTGGTGGCCGACATGAGGATAGGGGAAGAAGGCAAGAACTTAGATCTGATAGAAGAAGGCGAGAGACACCTTCAGATGATGAAAGCCATGACAATCGCAATCTGACAGAGAAACAAGGTAAAGATGGTGAAAAGAGAGAACAAGCAGAAGGAGAAGAAACAACAGAGAAGACTGCTGAGCCAGAAAAGGCTGTGAAAAAGAAGACAAATACAGACAATCCACTCCTGACAAGAACAGGTAAATTGTGCAGTAATATTTAGTGGAATTGAAATCGAGACATGTTGTTTGCTCTCCTTTGGCTACATGTCAGAACCATTTTTACCCTAAGATCACCATGCATATTCTCCCTGCTGTTCTCTATACACTCCCTTAGGTGCTAATAGGGAGAATTTTGTTTGACAATCAAGAGCTTCTTTAGTTGCTGATCATTTTCCGTTTCATTTAGTGACCTTGATGTGTGATTCAGGGGTGATATCGAAAGAAGTAATAAGTGCTAGACACTTCAAGAGGTGGAAAGTTTATTGAAAAGCTTGAATACAACTTGTAGATTGCCAATTTATTGTGGAATGAATCTCATGCACACGTCACTTCTTTCATATACATGCACACTGTCAATACAACTTAAAGCTTTGACACAAGTGAGAGTTTTTGGAGTTATCTATACAATGTAAAATAATTAACAATTATTCGCCAAAGTGGAGTTGATTAGTGATGGATATTAGTTTATTTCTGTCACTATATCAGAAAATGTTTAGAAATTTAATTGTTGCCTTGCAATAATATCTCTTCTACCGCTCAGAGGTCTGACCTTGATTCTGAAATTGATTCTATTCTATCCTTGTACCTGGTCAATTGTACGTTCCTGCCCCTGCCATCCCTAGTTTTTAACTGTTTTTTGGTTGATCGTGTTTTAAATCATTATCTGTACCATTGGCGGTGCCTCGCATAGGTCCTCGTGTCCCGTTCGCACCAGCCCTTTTGACCTTTCCTCCTTATCACTTTAAATCACTTTGTACATATATCCCATTTCTTTTAGGTTGTCTAATTTGCTGTATGTAATATGTGTAATGGTCAATAAAGTTGTTAAAAAAAAAAAGGAGGCAAAAATTATAAACTGGACTACGATATGTTGTCTAGTTAAAGTCCCTTGTAAAGTGTTGTAAAGCCCCATGAACCAATGGATATGGTGCCATAGAAATCCTTCAGTGTTATTATTACTACTATTATTATTTTTATATCATGCTGAACAGTATCCAGTAATTGCTTAATATTATAATTGTTTCCTCAATAAGTTTGACAGCATGAACACTATGATGATTTCTTTAAATTTTCTGTAAAGGGGGAGCTTACATTCCACCAGCAAGACTAAAAATGATGCAGGAAGGTATTGAAGACAAAAGCAGGTTAGTAAATACATTATAACATGGAGGTAGAATTCAATCTTTTGTTCTCCTTTAGCAAACTAAAGGATTTACACACAGGTAGTCTTTTTTTGTTTATATTTAAGAATTAAGAAGCCTTATTTTTTTTAACTTTACCAATTGCAGTCTTCCTTCATTACGAGTCTCTTTATTATAAGCCATTCCAGTTCTTTTCTTGGTTTAGTTTTGCCTTTTTTGTCCTCATTTTTAATCTTACCTAGCTAAATTTTTTTTTGTATTCTTTTTCAAGTGGGAATGGAATAACAACATGATAATATGGTGACAGGGCTCCTTTAATAGTATTGCTATGATCAATCAGCTTCATGAAACAGAAATTGAGTTGAATATTGTTTAATTTTCATGGAAAGTAGCCATAAATTGATCCTAACCATTTGTCATGGGCTATTTGCAGTGAAGCGTATCAGCGTCTAAGCTGGGAAGCTCTGAAGAAAAGTATCAATGGTCTTGTTAACAAGGTACAGGGCTGATCATTTTGTTAAGTCTCTATATACAATAGAACAGTTTCTTTATCAACAAGATGCCTGGGAGCCTTAACATGGGATACACTGGTCATTACCTACAGTCACTCTGGTCATATGTGAAAAATAGTAAATCCATTCTTCAAAGAACAGAAATGAAATAAAGAAATGAAAACAGCAAAAAAAAGTCCACATTTTAGGATGTTAATAATAATAATAATAATACTTTATTTACCCACGTGTCACCTAAGAGCTAATAGCTCGTTTAAAACATGAACGTGAAAATCATGGATGTCTGGTCACCCAATCATGTAGTAACCCCAGCCAACAGGACTTAACTTCAATGAGAAGCACATGGTCAAGTATTACTCTTAAAAAAAAAAAGATGACAAAAAAACTCAAGAAAATTTTAGATATGTTTCGATGTTATGTCCGTGGCATCCCACATATTATTGGCATCCCACATATTATTCATAGCAGGTATACATATTCCCTTTTGGTATATGTCTAAGTATATGAAAGACCTACTGGTATTTCACCTTTTCCCACCTAGGTTAACACGTCAAACATTGGCAATATTGTTCGAGAGCTTTTCCAAGAAAACATTGTGAGAGGAAGGTATGGCAACAGTGTACACCCCTTAGCAAATAGATTCCATGTTGCTGTGTGTCTGATCAATAGCAGTTCACAGATGGTGCCAAAATGCAGTAGAAACAAAATACTGGTGGATAAGTGGCAACCAAGTGTGTCACTGAATTTCTTACAACTATTTGATGCCTGCTGTAATCCCTTACTTTACAGACCCAACATGGAATCTATTTGTTTTTTATGATAACAAAGAAAAATTTCAGTTAATAGTGATCTCATGTATGCATCTGCCCTCCAATAGATCATAGGTAAGAACCAATCCAAATGCATTTTAGTTGGTAGTATTTAAAATGGTATTCATCTGCCTCTAGGGACTTAAGATAAGACATGAATACGTAGGGACTGTCAACCATGGTTGTAGATCTGTGTGGCCTATGAGTTTTGCATGTAATGAGTTCCTAACCATGGTACATCCTGTTGCAGGGGTGTCCTTTGTCAATCAATTGTCAGAGCACAGGCAGCATCACCCACATTCACCCATGTTTATGCTGCACTTGTGGCCATCCTGAACACAAAGGTACATATATGAATTACACAGTTTAAGTGTTACACAAGAATTCCACCGAAACTCATCAATTTTTTGACTTTCATTCCTACATATAAACTGTTTGGAAACTGTGCAAAAACAACAATAAGAGCAGAAAACATCTGTTGTTTCTTTGGTTCCTTTCTCAAGTTAATTGAAGCTTTCATGCCTAAAACCAGGGTTAGGGAAAAAATTTAGTGCATCAAGTCAGCATTGTAACATTTTTGAAGAGTTTTGAAAGTAATTGCATTGCAATTGTAAATAATATTAAGAGTAAATTTTATTGTTCAAATGAGGTAGCTTTTTAGTCCAATGTATTGTATTTATGTAGGCAATCATTGTGTTAGCATTACAATAAATTATTAATGGAGAAATAAAAAATATATCAACAAAAAAAAAAAAATTGCCCCCCCAAAAAACATTTCCCCAAGATTCTTTTGCCACAAACTGTTTAATAGGCAATTGATTACAGGGTTTTAGTTTTTATAAGACTATAAAATTTAACATATCCCTGTATCTGTTTTCAGTTTCCCAAAAATGGTGAACTTCTGTTGCGTCGGCTTGTGCTGCAGTTTAGGAGAGCTTACAGAAGAAATGATAAAGTAGGTTATCTTTAGTTGATGAATCATGGGTGAATGTGACAAATATAAAATGTATTTGCAACTGAATTTGTATTTGCTATAATTGTGACCGAAACACACAGTTTGGAGCAATGTGATTCTGTTTTCCTTGCCGAAGCTTGAGTGTAATCCTAACATGCATAGATATTACAAAATGT